CATTGAAAGCTATTTTTAAAGGGGCACTCAGATCACAATTCCCAAGCATCCATGAGCATACAGATTAAATTTTTTAAACCTTGCTCATTCCAAATCAACAGTCACAGTTTCTCATGGGTGCCACTTTTCTTCCTTTGCTTAGGATGCAGGAATAGCTGAAAGAGGAAGAGCGTGAACAGCTGCTATTGCCTCAGCACCCGAGCTGGTAACAGGGTTTGATGGAAAAGGCTTTGTATTTCACCCACAGGATTTGTGGGTCATCATTTTCTTGGATAGGATTGAGTGGATACTGCCATCGGAAGATCCGTTTAACCAGGCAAATGTTGCTGATCTATGCAACATTCTGCAAAAGGATTTGCTACCTGCTGCTCCCTGTCGAATTGTTTCTCCGGTGTTATCAAAAGCATATGTAGTGAATAGAGTTGGTTGAAGATGGCATCTGTGATGCTGAAAACCTCAGGAGAAATTGGAGATGGATCATCTACCCAGCACTTCTGTTTGAATATGGAGGCAAATACTTCAGCCTTGTCTTTTCCACTGATGTCTGGACTCCCCCGTGTTTAATCATGGGAATATTTGTGAAGCCTCCACTTGATGTGAACTGTTTAAATGTCTGCCATTAATCTGATATGTTGGTTGTGGGAATGTTTAGACCTATCCATTACACACGGCTCCTTCTGTTTAGTAGTTAAGTAGCCCTATGTTGTAGCTTCACCAGGTTGACATCTTAATGTTAGATATGTCTGGTGCTGCTTTTGGCATGACTTTCTACACTTTTCATTGATCCAGGGTAGTCTTGCAATAGTAGAGTGCAGGATATGCTAGGCCATGGAGTTACAGATTGTAGCAGAATACAATTCTACTGCTGCTGATGGTCCACAGTGCTTTATAGTGTTTTGAGTTGCTAGATTTGTTCAAAGTCTGTCCCATTTGGTAAGGTGGTAGTGCCACACAACATGATGGAGTGTATCTTAAGAAGAGTTTTCATCTCCACTAGGACCATGTAGTGGTCACTCCTGCTGACCCTGATGTGGACAGATGTCTCTGTGACAGGTAAATTAATGAGAGCAAGGTCAAGGAGATTTCTCCCTCTTGTTCATTGCTGCAGGACCAGTCTAGCAGCAATTTCCTTTATGACTTAGCCAGCTTAGACAGTAGCAGCACTAACAAGCCATTCTTGGTGATGGACATTGAGGTTCCCCATTCAGAGTGCATTCTGTGTGCCATTATCACTCTCCATGCTTCATCCAAGTGGTGTTCAATAGAAGGACACATCCATCACATAAGGGAGGGGCAATATTGGGTAATCAGCGCGAGATTTCCTTGCTAGTGTTTGACGTGGTGCCATGAGATTCATAGGTCTGGATTGAACTAGCTTTATTGTCATTTACTCAAATGATTGTACCCATCTTAGGTACAATCCTTAGGTACAGATATTAGAGAAGTGAAGAAAAATTTACATTAAAGCTATACACAATATAACCATAAGTCAGAAAAACAAGAAGACTCACCAGACCCAAAATGTTAACTCTGTTTTTTCCTTCACAGATGCTACCAGACCTGCTGGGCTTTTCCAGCAACTTTGTTTTTGTTCCTGATTTACAGCATCCACAGTTCTTTCGGTTTTTATTTGATAACAAGTAAAAGCTTATTACCTACACACTACCTGTTGTTGGTCACTAATAGCCCCATTAACGACTATTCACCCTCCCAGCCTGATCGTTATCAACTCCTTTGTCTCTCCAATTGTCCTTCTCTCTCGGCTCTATCCTATTGTTTACTCCCTACCCCACCCACCTCCTTATTTTCTGCATACCATCAGTTCTGAGGAAGTGTCACCAGACTCGAAACGTTAATTCTGTTTTTTTCCTTCACAGATGCTGCTAGACCTGCTGAGCTTTTCCAGCAACTTTGTTTTTGTTGCTGATTCACAGCATCCGCAGTTCTTTCGGTTTTTATTGGAGGTTGGGAATTAGAGGGAAGGGAGAGAAGGGAGGAGAGAGGGAGGAAACAAAAAGAAAAAGACTAGGCAGAGGGTAGGAGCTCGGGCTGGAACATCCTACTCCACCACCATCTTACCAGAATGTCTGGAGTCAATGTTGAGGATTTCCAAGGAAACTCCTTCCCAACTGTATACCACCTCTAGAGGGTCTGTTCTGCTGGTTGAACAGGACATGCTCACCAGGATCGTGATAATGGTGTCTGAAGCATAATCAGGCTCATGGAGTCATATTTTACAATGTCAGACTGAGGCTTGACTAGTCTCTTGGACAGTTCTCGCAAACATTGGATTGACCGTGCTGTTTGTCATTGTTGTTTCTGGTCCTTAGGTTGATGCCAGGTGGTGTGTCCCATTTTATTCCTTTCTTTATGGTGATTTGATACAATTGAGCAGCTTGCTAGGCCTTTTCAGAAGGCAGTTAAACGTTAATCATATTGCTGTGTGTCTGGAGTCACCTATAGGCCAGATCAGGTAATGATGGCAGATTTCCTTCCCTTAAGGACATAAGTGAACCAAATAGTTCTTTTATTTCAATCAACAGTGATTACATGGTTATCATTAGGGTAGCTTTTATTTCCACATTTTGTTTTCCTTTTTATATGTTGCTGTATAAAATCATCTTCAATCACTCTGTAATACAGTCAATGTGGTGTCTTTAGTAAATCACTTCTGTATATCTAATGCATAGTAACATCAGTTAGCACAGAGCCCAGGTTATGTAGGTAAATCTGTGATATTGTAGTTGTGTTCATGGTTAGTATTGTTAATAAACTTAAAGACATCTGTCACAACAAAAATCTGATTCTCTGTTGTATGGGTTATATGGAAACAGATGGAGCAGCTTATTACCATGCTGCCAACATGCCCAGATCTACATATGATCATGATCCATAGTGATTAAATTCACTAATTACTACACCAAAGATTCTAGACTGCAACATTGAATCTATCCATCACCTGACTACCTTTTGCCTTGATCAATTTGATGCTAACTGCAACTCCATCAGCAATGAAGTGTTACATGTGAAAGGCAGTGCCTGATGAGTCTCCTTGTAAGTGCAGTATTCACATTCAAGAAAAGCTTAAACTGAAATTGGATTCCATAGTGCAAAATATCACCTTCAGGAAAATAAAGCATTATTCTGATTGGTGCTTGGTTATAATTTCGATGTCTAACACAGACCAGGTTCCCAAATTACCATTTTGAGTGCTCTATAGCAAGCTTCCAAGACCTGCAATGCCAGAGATATTCCTTTACACCTACGAGTGGATGTTATTGAATCTGAACTGGAAAACAGTCTCATGAATCTCATACATTTTGATCATAGCTGAGCAGAGAAGGTTCAGAAAGTTCAGAAAATCATCATTAATGTGTGGCCTGAATGCATCCAACAAGTCCTGAACCACTTTGTTTTTAGAAACAAACAAGTTCTATATCAAGGCATACTGAACCATAGGTTGTCAGGGTGCAGAAAAAAAAACAAGAGATTGGTGCATGATGCTGCCAGACCTCCTCAGTTTTTCCAGCAATTTCTGTTTCTGTTTCTGATTAGTTCTTCCGTTTTCTTTTCACAAACAAGACAAGGCCATGTAGGGGTGGTGGGTTTTGGGGGGTGGGGATGTGGGAGTGAGAGAGGGTGAAAGGATGTAAGTAAAATGGAGACCAGACATCATGATGTCAGGCTCTGAAGTTGTAGAATTCATTATTGAGTCCTAGAGGCTATAAATTGCCTAAGTGGAACATGAGGTGTTGTTCTTCACTTTTGTATTGTGCTTTGTTGGAACATTGTAGCAGGGCCAAAACATTAGCATGAGAGAAAGCTGATTTACTGAAACGGCAAGCAACTAGAAGATCAGGGTCATTCCAATGGACAGAGCAGAGAAATTCTGCAAAGTGGTCACCTAGTCTGCATTAAGTCTTGCCAATATATTGGAGACCACACTGAGCAGCAACTACAGTAGACTAGACTGAAAGAAGTGAAGTGAAATGCTGCTTCACCTGGAAAGCATACTTGGGACCTTGGGCAAATGAGGATTAGGGTTAGGGTGCAAAATGCAGTCTCCTTTACATTGACCCTCACCCAGTTCTTTCAAATGCACAGAAACACGATCAGAATCAGAATAATTATATAATAACACTCTTGTAAAGGAGTTGTGCATTCTTATTAGTAAGAGGGAGGACGAAGTAACTGATAAGCAGAGGAAATGGTTATGTTACTAAGCTGGCAATCTAAAGGCCCAGACTAAGGCACTGGTTATACGGGTTCAAATCCACTCATGGCAGTTGGTGGGATTTAAATTTAATTTTAAAAAATCAGGAATTTAAAAATGGTCTTTGCTTTGGTGACCTTGAAACTATCATCACTTATTGTTGAAAACCCACCTGACTCACTAATGACCTTTAGGAATAGAAATAAGCAATGCAATGTGACTCCAGGCCCAGAGCAATGTGGTTGACTGTTAATTGCTCTCAAGAGCAATTGCAGGTGAGCAACAAGTTCTGGGCTTTCCGTCAATACCCACATCCAATGGACAAAAAAATAAAAAGATTATGTTTGGGAAGTTCTGCTCTGCTAGCGTAACTTTGCCTTAAGTTAACAGGAATCCCATTAAATCGAGCGTAATACTGGTTTTCCTAATCAGTCTTCTTGCTTTACAAATTATTGAAACTGCTATGGTGAACAAATCCTGGAATTACTCTGCTCTCTGTATTAGTCTTCACTGAGTATCCACATACCTTTGAATCAACTTAAAATCCTCATCCTAGTCCCTCCACGGTTTAACATTTTTATCCTAAACTTGCAATCCTTCTAGACATTTGCCCAGTCTACACACTCCGCCTCACTGAGATTGCTGTCACATCTTCTTCCCCATTTCCTATATGCCGTCATTAGAAGCTACTTTTACAGCCACATGCTTCCACTTCCTGGTACTGGCTTCCTAGAATCCTCCATTTTGACATCCCCATCCCTGCTTTGAAAGACTTCCCAATCCTGACTTGAGCTTCCCCGTGCCCCCAGAATTTCTCTGTAATCCCTTTTCTCCCCTTGTGTTCAATATTTGTTTTCAAGACCTCTGAATGTCTAGAAGTACGTGTTAATGTTGTTGCAGGAAACTTGTGACTCGCTTGTTGGTACCACAGTACAATTTGCCACGTGTTCAAATTTTTCTCTGATCAACAATCAGTAGTTTTGTCAGATATCTATTTTGTTACGTTGTCTCTGGTTCTGATATCACTTAAGTCCCATTTTTTCTTTCATTTAGACTTAATTTACACCATTAGTATTGTATTACTGCCATCTTATGGTGACATCTGGAAAACATATTCATTCATAATGTTGATTCTTTACAGGCCAGCAGAGGCATATTGGGATGTATGCTCAATCTCCTAAAATGGATATCAAGTTTACATCCTCCATTATCCCACCTACTTCTGGGTTCCACAGGCTGGTTTGGATGCTGGCACAAAACTACATGGAGCTGGTAGGCAGGTAATTTAAAAATTCTACTAGGCAATCAGGTACTACCTTAACCAAGCAATTGGGCTTTAGTAACCTGTTTATCTATTTCCCAAGGTGTCAGCAACTTGCCAGAGTCAAACCGGGCACAATGGGGACTGCTTCTTCAGTGAATCTAATTTTAATCAGGGGAACTGAAGAGTTCCAAACAAGGTCAAGTGGGAGAAGGTGTTGTGCACAACACTTCCTAATGTGAGCTTTCACTGCTTGAGCGATTACTCCCAAATACCTGTGAGCCACCTCACCCATCTTCCACTTCACTCGTTGCATTTCCTATTCCAGTCTTCTCCCCACATCCACATGCCACTCCACCGTTCAGAGGATTTGGATAAACTGGAAGGAAACATGATTCCCAATACATGGTGGCCAGGCAAATAATACCCCTTGACATATGTGCACACTCGTGCCTAAGGATCTCAAGATTTCAGAGCAGGTTATTGCTGACATCTGACATTTCAGGTCGGGACCCTTCGTCAGAAATTGGGGAGGGTAAAGGGGGCTCTGAAATAACTAGAGAGAGGGGGGTTGGGCTGGGGAAGGTAGGTGAGTGCAGGTAGGCAGTGTTGGGGATTGGTCAGTGAGGTGGGAGGAACGGATAGGTGGGACAGAAGATGGACAGGTGCACCACTCCCTACCTGCACTCACCTATTACCATCCCACCTACCTTCCCCAGCCCCAACCCCCTCCTCTATTTATTTCAGAGCCCCCTTCACCCTCCCCCATTTCTGAAGAAGGGTTCCGACCCGAAACGTTAGCTTTCCTGCTCCTCTGATGATGCCTGGCCTGCTGTGTTCCTCCAGCTCCACATTTTGTTATCTCTGACTCCGGCATCAGCAGTTCTTACTATCTCTGTTGCTGACATCTACAGCCTTCTGAAACAAGACATCCTTCCCAGTGTAGTTGGTGGGCACAGACTGGCAAAGTGCCAATCACTAGAAGCACCCACTGCCACACCCCTCATCCTGAGCCTCAGGAGGTTGTGTGCTGTTTTTAAGGAGAGAAAGTAAAGAGTTGTGCGTGTTTAAAATGGCTTGTTTGGATAAGGAGGGAAGGATGGTGTTTGAAGAGAGTGAATCTGAGTCTGTGGTTGTGAGAAAGCAGTAGGCTGAGGCTAAATGTAAGTGAGAGCTCATTATTCAGCTGGGGTTGTAAGATGCCTGGAAAGGTAGAAATAAGTAGAGCTGTAAGATGTGTTGTCCTGAGCATTGCTGTGCAAGAGAGCACTGGGAAAATCAGAGTAAGAGGCTTGACACATCAAAGTGTTATGCCCTTCACCTGTTAAACCCTCCTGAGATTCTGGATTCTTTTGGCGCATTGTTTTCAGGTCAAACCGATGACATTTCCGTTGTTAATTTCTTCAGTCATTCCCACCCTTGCCTGCCTAATTGGAGAAGCTAGCCTCTTTCTCACATCCTTAACAAACACCAATCCATTGCTGTTTCTCAAAACTCCCTGCAGCTAAAAGTGGGAGGCCCCGGTTAGGAAAGCTTTTCCAGGTCTCCTCTTCAGTCTTGCACAGTCTCAGTTAAAGAGCTGCTGCAAACTATGCTGGAAATCCACTGGATCCCAAGCTGCCAATGGATCTGCCAGTTGGCTGGGATGACCTTTTAGAAATTTCTGCCATTTATATAAATAATGGCCAGAAAATATTATGAGTATAAATGCAGTTTTCAGTTATCTGGCGAAATACAAGTAAAAAAATGTGACTATCTCTGAAGAATTCCCTACTGAGTCTTTTATCTCATTTCTCCAATTTTTACCTTTCTTCTCTTGAAGGAAGCCAATTGTCTTTCAGTGGGTGCTAGGCCTGCTCTAGGACCTCTTCAATTGCCATTCATGTCTGAGCTTAACTAAATGTTGGCAAGTTACTGTATCACAGAAGGGAGACCAATTGAGCATTAACTTATTCGTCCAGCAAAGGACACTTAATGGTGACTAAATCAGCAATCATATCTGAATTTTCTCTCTCTAATCTTAGAGTGCTAAGCTCTGTTATCAAAACCCGAGATCAGCTCACTAAACAGATGCTTGAACCTGAGACTCTTATTTGCTTGGCATGTGTTGTCATAGTGCCACACATGCCATTTCATTTACTAACCAGCGTATGAGGAGGAAATCTTTAGACTAGCATATTTAAAGGTCAGAAAGTCCTAAAAATAGCTAGTTCTAAGAATTGCTCTCAAACTCTGCACCATCAGCATTTTTACATATATGCTGCATAAATATTACAGATTCATTTTCTGAGGGCCTTTTGTCCTGTACACAATATCACAGGATGAAGAATAACACAAAACCTGTTCTAATGCTTCCCAAATATTTACTTGTTCCTGGATATTAGATGGTGAGTGAGAGCACCTTTGATAGTGGCTCGCTTATCCTGAAAGGAAATGCAGTGCTCAGTATCAACCTTGTGGAGACTAGGAACTGGCTGTTGCTTACTTGTACAGAACTCAGACACAATGTTCCACTCTGCAGCCTTGTCCTGTTATCAGAATGGTCAGGGGAGACAAAGGAATCAAGGTGAAGAACAGGTTGAGGGTGGATAGACAAAGAGAATGATGGATCAATCAACTGGCTGTATTTACAGATTGGGTGAATTCGGAGGGTAGAGAAATTGAGGGTTGAATTTGTTGAAGGGATCGATGAACTAAAGAGTTAGTTTGAATGTTTGTTAGACAGAATGTGTGAATAGACTGAAGGTGTGGATGAATCAATGATAGGAATGGATTGAGGTTTAGTGGGGGGATGGATAACCCCTATAGCTGTGTTAAGGGTAGAGCTTGAGTACAATGCTCCGTTCGGTGCTCCTCTGCTTGCCAGTCGCTTTACCTTTCCCTTCTTTTTCTTTCTCCCCTTCAGAGATTTTCTTTTTCTTGCCCTGCCGCCCAACCCCAACCATGCTCTACCTGGAGAGTGGAGTTGAGGAGCAGAGTGAGGGGCCATGTCTCGCGGCAGAGCAGAGCACGGGCCGTGTCCCGTGGCAGAGCAGAGCGAGCACGGGCCGTGTTCCGCGATGGAACAAACGGGCAATTCCAGGATTGGCGGCAAAGCGATTCCTGGATGGAGGCCAGCACATGGAGGTGGCATAGCCTCATGCTCTGGGGCCTGCAGGCATAGACTGGAACTTAAGTACTTATGGTCACTTATTATCACTCTGGACTTTTTCACTGTTTCATGCTAATCTATATTCTTTTTTACTCTGTAACAACACTGTATTTTCTACTCTGTAAAATTTGTGTTTAGGTACTTGTGCCTAAGATGGCACCATTAAAGGCAGCCATTGTAAAAACTTTACTCCGTACTCCTGCACTTCTGTATTGGAGTATATGTGACAAATAAAGGATACTCTTCTATTTGCTGTTGGGACTCAAAGTTGTGGTCACAAACAGCTCTGATTACACTGCCAAGTCAGTAAGGGATTTAAAACAAAAAGTTTGCAAAATAAACTGTACCCCTCAACCTCGTTTCTTGTCATTTGTGGGGCTGGTCAGATAGTTCTTGCCAAAGTAGATGTTGATTCACTTCTGCTTGTTTCAATGTAACACATATAACAGAAACTGACAGAATGCAGCCAAGCTGTATGCAAGCCCAAGGGACAAAAATAGACTTTTCTATTTATTTCTTTGACAGTAAACCATGTGAGGGCTATGTAGGTATGTGAGTGCGAACATTTGCATCAACACTCCTCTGAGTCACAACGCAGCTTAGGACTCTGCCACTGACAGATCTCATGCACCCTGAACATTGTGATAAAATAGGAATGTTAACCATTTGATGTTCTTCATTATCAAATGTTTTAATTATTTTATTTCACAGTTTAATTTTCTATCTAGGTTGATAATCTTTGAGTGTGCGTCATCGGATGAATAATCATGTTATTCTATTTTGCATCCTAATTTGTTAGGGAATGCACAAATTTATGTGGCTATCAAAATGAGGAATTTCAGTACACGGAGCTCTCAGGTCAAGTGCAATACAGCAGAATGTTCCATAAAACTCCCTTTGATCTTCCCCAAACATATGCCTCTAATATTATTCAGAAAAATACAACTTCCATTTGTCACAATTGTTCTAGATAAAACAAAAACAATGTGAGCAGTACAGTGGCTCAGTGGTTAGCACTGCTACCTCACAGTGTGAGGGACCTGAGATTGATTCCAGTCTTGGGTGACTGTCTGTATGGAGTTTGCATGTTCTCCCTGTGTTTGTGTGGGTTTCTGCTGGGTGCTCTAGTTTCCTCCAACAGTCCAAAACTGTGTAGTTTAGTTGGGTTGGCCATGGTAAATTACCCCATATTGCCCAGGGATGTATAGGCTAGGTGGATTAACTGTGGAAAATGTGGGGCTATGGGAATTGGGGCAGGGGGTGTCCTGAGTGGAATGCTCTTGGGAGGTTTGGTGTAGATTGATGGGCCAAATAGCCTTTTCCTGCACTCTATGAAAGGATTGAAACATATGCCACTATATTGTTTTGGATTATGAGAGTCAAGATTTCAGCATATTCTGTGGCAATAGAAATGTGACTGGACAGCTTTTATTCAATTGAAGTTAAGACATTAGCAACAAAAATGTTTATTGAAATGTGAATGTTGAAGTTTATGATGATTACATCTCAGTGATACTTTCTGTCTGAGATGATGGTCTACTTTGATTAAGGTCAATTGTTGCTTTCTAAATATGAACCCAGATCAAATCCCTTAACAAGAATACCACATCTTCTAATGACACAGCTTTACAAATGATATAAATCTTTGCAGAATTTACTCCAGTTGTTTCATCTTCTTCCCTTACTCATGTGTTCTCAGATCTTTGTCCATGCCTCACTGCATTCAGGATCACGTATGAGAGGCTGTTGCTTCATTTCCCTTCTTTTGGAATCAGCCTAAATGCTGCTTGGTTGCATCTTCTTGTATATGGCCCAACTGATATGAAGTGGTTGGCATACTGATGAATAGGATAGAATTGTGGATGGATACATCGGTTTTACTGAAGGCATAGTATTGAACATAGCATTGAACATCAGCACACTGCACTGTTAGAGTGCGTAATAGTTTGATAAGTTCACATAATAACTTGTGTGCATGATTTACCTTTTATAACAGTAATGTAGTCTATCCTTGGCATTCAATGCAACACAGTAAGACTGATCTTTTGACGGACCAGTACTTCCCAAGTATATATTGATAGTTGTGCTCCAGCTAATATATGATTCTACTTTGACTCATCTATTATATTACAGATTGTATGTGAACTGAAAGCAAAGCATTCCTGCTCCCCAGAAAAGAGAGAGTGGACACCACATAAAACAATGCGAGGAAAAGAGGAAGACGTCTAAGAGTTGACATCGCAGTAAAATCATGAGCTGATTGTTTGTTGAGCAGCCGCCATTGGTGATTAGGTTTCAACTAAATTTCTAATTAAATTTCTAATTCTAGTCTAGTAAAACTAGGATTCATAGGAGAGAACTAGCTTGTGAGCAAAGGTGTAGAATTTCTACTTCCTACTATTCACCAGTTTTAGTTAATAGTGCAAGAGTAAGGTTAAAGTAAGTAAAGTTATAAAGTACAAAATGTAAGCCCCAGTATTTCAGAGCAGCCAAGCGGAATGCCTGTCTTGCAGCATGCAAGGAGTCTTAGTAACCTCTTGTGACCTAGACATGTGCAAAAAGTGTCACAGTCTGCACAAACCTGAGCTCCAGAGCTCAAGCTGTGTGTGGCTAAAGTCACTGATATGCATCCACGAGATGGAAAACTGCGCGGATAGCACATTCAGAGGGGCAGTTTAGGGGGAAGCAAAAAGATTGAGAATGGCTGACTGTCAGACAGTCCAAGAGAAGCAGACAGGTAGTCCAGAGGAAGTCTTTAGAAACCTTTCTCACTAACCGGTTTCCAATTCTGTACGTTGGTGAGGGCGATGGATCTTCAAAGGACTGCAGCAAGTGCCAAACCCATGGAGCCACCGTAGCCAAGCTTTACAGGAGGGGAGAAACAACAACAGAAGGATAGTACCGAAAGGGGATTCTTTAATTTGGGGAACAGACAGGCATTTCTGTGGCCATCAATGTAACTCCAGGATGGTTTGTTGCCTCCTTGGTGCTAGGGTCAAGGATGCTATAGAACAGTTCAGGAAATCCGAGTGAAGCATGGTGAAGAGATCAAGGTTGTGGTATACACAGGTACTAATGACATAGATAGGAAGGAGCATTTTTTCTGAAGTAGGGTCCAGACCCGAAATGTCAGCTTTCCTGCTCCTCTGGTGCTGCCTGGCCTGCTGTGTTTATCCAGCTCTACACCTTGTTATCTCTTTATCATTGATAGGAAGTAGATGTGTTCCTGCAATCACAATTTAAACCGCTAATTAATTAGTAAGTAAGACCTCTAAAGTAGTAATCCCCAGATTACTCCCAGTGCCATGTGCAAGTCAGTAGAGAAATAGAAAGGTAAGACACATGAATGTGTGGCTGGTAAGATGTTGCAGGAAGGTGGGCTTTAGATTCTTGAGACTCTGTGATTGTCCCTGAGGGAGATGGTACCTGCACAAGCTGATGGGTTGCATCTGAACAGAACCAGAATTGATTTCCTTTTGGAACGCTTTGCTAGTGCTGTCGGGGAGGGTTTAAACTAGCTTAGGCAGACCTGGGTGTTAACTTTTCTGACTGCAACAGTTTCAGAAAAGTTAAGGAAGGAATTAAAGGTGGAGGTGTGGCATTTTCACTTACAGACAGCATTACAGTACTATGGAAGAGGATGCTTCAGAATATTCGAAGACAGATTGATTTGGCTAAAGCTAAAAAATAAGAAGGCTGCAATTACATTGTTCAGTAGAATATGTAGACCATCAGCTAGTTGGAAGAATATCGAGGATCAAACCCGCAAGGAAATTACAAGGAGGTTTAAACATCATAGAGTAGTTATGAGGGACTTTAATTGCCTGTATATTAGACTAAGATAGTAGTAGCATAAGGGTCAGTGATGGACAAGTATTCCTGAATTGTGTTCAGGAAAGTTTTGTACGTAGCAATATGTGTCCAGTCTAACAAGAAAGAGGGCACTGCTGGACTTGGTACTTGGAAATGAGGTGGTAAATCAAATAACAAGAGAGGAATATTTAGGGTCTAGTGAGCATTGTATCATTAGGATTAGGATGATGGTAGAAACTGACATCCATCAATCTGGAGTTGGATAAATCAACTGGTAGATATTTGATGTCAGTGGGGCAAGAACAAAATGGGCTGAATAGATTGGAACCAGGAAAAATAGTACCTGACCAATGAACTACCTTCAAAGAGGAGATGGTTTGGGGACAATCAAGGTATATTCCTTCAAATGCAAAAGGTAAGATAAACACTTCTAGAGCTCCCTGGGTGATAAAAGGACATAGAAATTAAAGAAGAGTATGAATTATGTCAGGTATCGTGTAGTAATACATTTGAATGCAAATGTAGGAGGTGGTAAAGGAGAAGTTGAGCCATTTAGGGGTCAAACAAGGGATCTACACTCAAAGGCAAGAGACCTGGCTGAAATGTTAAATTAATACTTTGCAACTGTCTTTATTTATGCGGAAGATGCTGCCCAGGCCATCATGACAGAGAAGGAACTCAGTCACTAGAAGGATTTATAATTGACAAGGAAGGGGTGTTGGTTGAGCTTTCAGTACCAGGACCAGAAAAGATGAATTCAAGGGTGTTGAAGAAAGTGAGGAGGGACATCGGTAATTATTTTTTAATCTTTCCTGAATTTGGGGATGGCCCCAGTTGATTGAGGAATTGCAAACATTAGGCTCTTGTTCAAAAAAAAGTTGTAAAAGTCACCCTCACAATTACAGAACAGTCAGTTTAAATTCAATGGTGGTGAAACTTCTCGCAAACAAAATGGGATTCAGTTATTGGAAAAACGTGGTTTGATTTGGGTGAGTCAGCATAGATTTGAAAAGAGAAAATCATACCTAACTTGCTGAAGTTTATTGAAAAGGTAACACAGAGGATTGATGAGGGGAAGGCTATTGATATGATGTACATGGACTTCCAAAAGGTGTTCAATACTGCATCACATAACGGATTTGTGAGGGAAGTTATAGGTCATGGAATGTTAGAGGAGTAGCAATGTAGAAATGAAATTGGCTGTAACATGTGTAACAGAAGTAACAGAAAGTAATGGCTAATGGGCAGTTTTCAGGCTGGAAGAAGGTTTGTAGTGGAACTCCTCAGTGGTTGTTATTGGGACTCCTGTGTTTCCTGCGAGATATCAAGACCTTGGCATGTAGGAGATAATTTAAAAGTTTTGCAGATGATACAAAACTTGGGAGAATTGTACTCTGTGAGGAGGACAGTATAGAAGTTTGAGAGGCCATTAAATTGTTGGTGATGTGGTTGGGTAGCTGGCAAATAAAGTTCAGTATGGAAGTGATGCAGTTTGGTAACAAGACCATAGAGTGAAATCTAAAGTAATAAAATATAAAATACATATTTTAAAGGTGTGCAGGAATTTATTAAAGGTGGCAGGACAAATGAAGAGAGTAATTAATAAAGCATGAAATATTTATTAATAGGGGCATAGAGTACAAGAGAAACAATAATTTTGAACTTGTATTAGGCACTTGTTAGATGTCAGCTGGACTTTTGTGTACAGTTTTGAATACCACACTATACGAAGAATGCTAATACATTGGACAGAGTACAGAAGAGGTGTATGAGAATGATTGGTTCCAGCAATGAGACACTTCAGTTATGAGGAATGTGTGCAGATGTTGAGGCTGTTTTCCTTAAAGACAAAAAGGCTAAAAGGAGATTTGGTAGAAGGTTTCAAACCATAAGGGGTCCAGATAGAATGCATAGGAAGAAACTGTTCCCACTCATAAATGAATTGAGAAACAGAAGGCACAGTGTTGGTGCTTTACAAAAGAAGCAAAAGCATGGCGAAAGAAAGTCTTTCTCACACAGTGAGTAGTTAGGGTCTGAATGAGGGGTCTGGAGGTAGGTTCAGTTGAGGTATTTAAGAGAATATTGGATGATTATTTAAATAGAAACAACATGCAGGGTTACAGGGAATAGGTAAGAGATTGGCACAAAGTTAAAATGCTCAGAGAGCCAGTGCAGATATGATGGACCAAATGGCCCCTTTCTGCACCAGAATGATACTGTGACTGTGTTGTTTAGTACACTCACTATTATTGACCAAACTGTGCTAACAATCATGTTACATGTTTCTTTGCAAAACAATGGTTCCTTTCACCTGATGATGTATAGAGTAGATAACAATGTAGATTCACTTTGTATCTGATTACAAAATGACACAGAGGGTAAATAATTGGTTGTATTGAAGATATTTTGCAATGTCATGAATTTACAAAAGTAAACTTATGAAATATATATCCATTTCATAATAAAGATACAAAACTCATGTTGAAAATGTTTCATAAAAAGGCAGAAAAATAATTTATTTACAAGCAACAAGAATGACTAATGTTTGCATTTATTTAACACCTGTAATGTAGTAAAATGCACAGTCTTCACAGGAGCATGACAAAATGAGATTTGACACTGAGCCACATAGGAGAAATTAGGTCAGTTGCTTACAAGCTTGGTTAAAGCAGTAGGTTTAATTGAAGAATGGTTACAACACAGAAGAATGCCATTCAGCCCATCATGTCTGTGCAGTTCACCTAGAATCACTCCCCTGCCTTTTCTCCATAGCCATATCTTGTTTCTTCCTTTTTGGATAATTCTCCAATTTCGTTTGGAAAGTAGATCCTAACCATTAGCTGCATGGAAAATATTTCCTCATGTCACCGATACTTCTTTTGGCAATTACCTTCAGTCTATGCCCTGTGGTTTTCAATTCTTCCATCAGTGGGAACAATTTCTCCCTATTGACCTGACCCGGACCCTTCATGATTTTGAATATCTCTGTTGAATTTCTTCTCAAGTGTTCTTCTCCAAGATAAACAATCTCAATTTTGCCACCTTTTCTATGTAACATCATCTCTGGAACCATTCTCATGTTCTTTTCTGCATTCTCTTTAATGCCTTCACATCCTTTCAGAAGCATGGTACCCAAACTAGAGTCAATACTCCAGCCAATGTTGGACCACTGTTTAACATAACTACCTTGTACTTGTACTATATGGCCCTATTGATAAAGCCCAGGCTCCCGAATGCTTCATTGACTACTGTTCCAACCTGCTTTACCATCTTCAATGATCTATATGTATATATATTAAGATCCTCCTGATCCTGTACGCCCTTTAGAATTGCATCTTTACTTTTATGCAGTCTATCTGCTATTTCCGACCAAAATGAATTACTTCACTTTTCTGCGCATTAAATTTTATCTGCCACTTTTCTGCCCATTTCACCAACCTGTGCACATCCTTTTAAAATTCTATACTATCTTCCCAGTTCTTAATGCTTACAAATATTTGTCATCTGCACATTTTATCATCTTGCCTGGTACATTAAGGTCGAGGTCATGAATATATATCAGGAAAGCAAGGATCTGACACTGATACCCATGGACCTCTACAATAAATCTTCCTCCAGTCCAAAAAAAACTATCCACACTACTGTTTGTTTACTATCATTTAGCTAATTTTGTATCAAATGTTGCTGCTGTCCATTTTATTGCATGACTCCTACCCTTGCTCACAAGTCTGAAGATTATGGTCAGTGCTTCTGCAACTTCTACTTTAACTTCCTGCAGTATTTTTGGATGCAATTCAACCAGTCTTTAAGCCTATCCAATACCACTTCCTTACCAAATTCATGTGTCTGAGCTGCATCCTCATTCAGTATCAGCTGAGTGCTTCTTCATCCTTGCTAAAAATAGGTATCAAATATTCACTTAATACTTCAGTGTTACCTCCCACCTCCATTCATAAATCCCATGGTTAGTCCCTAATTGGATCCATTCCTCCTCTTACTCCCCTTTCACTATTTATATGCCTACAATAGAGCATCTTAAAGAAGCGTGAGAGATACAGCAATATAGAGTGTGAATTTGCAGATCATAGAGCATTGATAGTTGAAGGCATGATCAACAATGGTGGACTGATTAAAATTATGAATGCATCAGTGGTACAATTGGAAGAATGTAGATATTGTGGAGAATTGTGAGTGACGTGTGAACTGAACACAATGTAAGTTAGGACGTGGACAACAGACTTTTGGATGAGCTCAAAGTTATATGAAGATGAGAGGTCAGCCACAAAATTATTGGAATAAATAGAGTGAAGAGTAACAGTGCCGTAGATGAAGGTAAGATGGGGCAACAGCAGATTTTGGAAATGTTACAAAGATGGAAGTGGGCTGTCTGGGTTCTGAAGAAGAATCATTGAACTCGAAACATTAACTCTATTTTTCCCTACAAAGATACTGCCAGATCTGTTGAATTTCTCTAGAACTTCCTGCTTTATTTCAGATCTCCAGCAGAGGCTGTATTTTGATTTTATATTAGCCTTAATGGTGATGCAGATATTTGATGAGAAGCATATACTCAGATCAAATGTGACAAATCCAGCACAGACAGTTTCTGGGGAGAGGGATAGAGTCAGTGGCCAGGAAAAAGAGATTATCAACAACTTTTGTCTACCCAATCCTTACTTGGTAATTCTGTACATCCCATACTGGATATTGGATGCACAGCTGATTGATGTTGCTGATGTAAATTGTATCAAAACTCATTGTCATGTTGCATGTGACAGACAGTTTTTGATTCACATGATGAAGAGATTTTCTAGATCCTCGCTTTTGCCGTGCCTAAAATATTTGCAATATTTTCCATTTTATCCATGCAACATGTTACACATGCAAAATGTACAGTATGTTTTCTCAGAACACTGTAAGAGAGAGCCACTGAAATGTTTAACCTGAGGAACAGTCTGTATCTCCTTAAAGATCCCATTAACTCTCTCAGCCCTCACAGCCATGTGAAATATTGGAGAAATCCCAGGATGATTACCTGTTTTGTCCATGATGTACTTGACTTGTAGTTCATTAGAACAATATTGCCTTGACTTTACAAAGGCCTTGCAAGAAATCACATGCAAGAGAAACTGGTGGCATTGGGAAGATAGGTTTATGAAAGCAAGCAACAATTTATTTTCCAGACAGTGAAAAATATAAAACACGAGGGCCTGAACAGGATTAGATTTCATCCAAAGCAATATGCAATTAAATTGATTGTGAAATAACTTAGAAAGTGAGGGACAACGGCAGATCCTAGTATCATAAATATATCACAACCTGCGATGATAGCAGATAAATCCAACTGCTTGATTAATGATGCTGGTGTCTTTTGATTATAAGGTTAATCTTGAAGATCAGGGGAAATATACAAGCATGCATCTCATGTAAAATTATCCCACTCTTGGGCAGTCAATTCACTCTCAGACATTGCTTCGTAATAATTGAATGGCACCAAAAAATGTTGAATCTTTCTCCATGGAGATGTTGGCATTGGGTCGGGATGGTAACAGGAGTTCCAGCTCATCCCCTTGGTCAAGATTCACAATTCCTAAACCAGAAAGGCATAGTTAGCAACAGAACAAAACAGAATCTAGTTAGCTCATAGCAATGATGTTGAAAATGGTTTTTAGAATGGACTATTCTTCCAGTTTAGTCTTGGCTGAGTTTTCATAAATGTATTGGCAAAGTGCAATCATCACGTAGGTAAAATGAGTCACATGTAATCGGAACAAGGAATTGGATTTTCATGATCTCAGTTGGGACCCATTGGAGGTGGGACTGGAAAACACATGGCTGCTAAGCAAGGTAACTGGAAGTCCTACCTCCATTCCTACCCTAGGCTACTTTCATGTCCCAGAAGATACACGTTCCTGTTAACAAGGCAATTGGCAGCATAGTGAGCCGACTGAGAGCCCGATTCCTTTAAGATCTTTCATTTTCATGGAGGTCACCAAACTTTTATCAGCTATCAGGTTTTATGCCAGCTGCATGTAAGAATAAACCATGGAATGAAGGCAGGAAGAGTTTAAAAGATAAGTAAAATGATTTTGCCTCCCTTCACGTCCATCATGAAATGCTGTAGCATGAATTATTTACAAGCATATATCATGTGTTTAATAAAGCAAGTTCTGTCAATGCCATGATTGGATGATGTAACTACTTATTAAACAATTTGTCTGCTGGATTGTTCCTTCTATCAACCGGCAAGTTGTCAAATAAAAGATCAATATTGAAAATGTGAAAAAGTCTTCAGAATTTCCATCCACGGAATGCAGATGTCAGTTCCATTCTCATTAGCAACAGTACTTGTGGATGGCAGTGTCAACAGAGGTGCCCGGGCCACTATAATTATTAGAAAGCACTGACGTGAAAACTGGAGCCAAAATTTCTCAACAGTCAGTAAATTCTGAAGTTCAGCAGCTAAACAATAATTCTAAAGTTTTTGAGAAGATTTGTAGCTCAGGTTATGGATGAGGTTGTAGCCAAGCCGGTGTGTTTGATTGCAGTCATTTCATCACACTGCTAGGTAACATCGTTAGTGCGCCTCTGGTGAAGGTTCACGATGTTGCCTAGCAGGATGATGAAACATCTGCAACCAAATGCATTGGCTCAGCGAGCAAGTCTACAACCTCAAACAATAATTCTAATGGAATGTCCCAGACCTGAAATGTTAACTCTTGTCTTTGTCTCCAGATGCTGCCAGACCTGCTGAGTATTTCCAGAATTTTCTGTTTATTTTATCTTGCAGTTTAATTAATAAAGTTGGTCAGGACTAAACCTAAGATAGCAAGAAAGAAAGATTGGATTGACTGGGCTTGTGTTCAGTGGAATTTAGAAGAATGAAACATACAATATAGAAACATACAAAATCCTGTTGGGACTGGACAGGCGAGATGCAGGAAGAATATTCCTGATGTTGGGGAAGTCCAGAACTAGGTGTCGCATGCTAAAAATAAGGGGTAAGCCATTCAGGACTGAGATGAGGAAGAATTTCTTCACTCAAAGAGTTGTGAACCTGTGAAATTCTCTCCCACAGAAAGCTGATTGGGTCTGTTTGTTAGATATATTCAAGAGGGAGCTGGATGTGGCCCTTGTGGCTAAAGAGTTCAAGGGGTATGGAGAGAAAGTAGGAGAGGGATATTGAAACTGTGTGATCAGTCATGATCATGTTGAATAATGGTATAGGCTCAGAGGGCTGAATGGCCTACTCCTGCACCTATTTTCTATGTTTCTATGTTTTTAATCTCATTATAGGAGTCAATGCCATCATCTGCAAAAAGGAAGTTGAAAATGTTCAGGAACACTGACTGAATTCCATTTATTTTATAGGGTGTATTGCAAAGAAGCAGGACTCTTGGCTAATAAGTTCAGGATAGCTTTAAAACTCCACTCAAACCAATGACTGTAAAGACAATATAGTTTTAGTTTTCTTTATCTTGGATTGTGGACCAAACTAGGAAAAGAACTTACTTAAACCAAGGACTGTGAAAGGAGTTTCTGCATTTTATTTAAAAGCAAGTTACTGGAAATCATTGTGTGTTGTGTTTACCCTGTTTCTTTTTTCAAGCAATGGGGATGATATTTGACACCAAAAGCACTGTGATTATGAATTGAGGGTAAGTTTCCCCCAGAGACAGACTGTTGATTGGGTTTCAGTTGTGGAGGTTAGAAGTCATCAGCTGGTGGGCAGATTGTGCTTGAACAATACAGAGGCAGAAGGTCTCCAGAATGTCGGACACAGCAGCTCTCCTTTTCTTTCTGTGCAATCAAGTAAACAAGAACTGAAAAATAGCTAATTTCTCCCATTATTTGCTATAAGTTGTTGCCTCTAACCAGTGACGGATCGGTGTCTTCACAAAGAACTGAAAGCATCAGAAAAAAGATCGGAGATCTGAGGATTAAAAGAAACAAAATGTTTCCCTAATACTTTTCTCCCCGCCCATAATATTTATGTTTATTTGATTGTTTGTGTATTTCTACATAGAAGTTTACGAAGTGGATAGAGCTTAAGAGTCAGTATTATCAGTTAATAATTCACATTTTGTTTTTCTGTGTTTAGAACCAATTTCTTAGTTATAAATAGTAATTTCTTGCTTAATACAGAAACTTGGACAAAATATTATGCTGGGTCTATCATAAAAGAAATCTTGGGGCTTTGAGTAAGTTGATTAAATCTTTAACTTTTGTGGTGACTCCCTGTATAATGGCAATAGAATATCAGTATACTTTCCCTTTCTTCTTCTAACCCTATCAGCGTAACCCTCTGTTCCCCTCTCCCTGATATAATTACCTAACTATTCTGTAAACACATCCCAACCATGTCATTGGACTCGGAATCCACAGGCCCAGGCCAATACACTGGGCTCGTATACAAATCCCACCATATCAGAATGTGGAATTTAAGTTCAATTAGCAAATCTGGGATGTAAAACTACTTTCAATAATCATGACCATGGAAATATAATTGATTGTTATAAAACCCCACATGGTTCACAAATGTCCTTTAAGAAACAAGATCTGTCATCCTTGCCTGCTCTGACCTACACTTGAATCCAATCCGCACTAATGTGTTTGACTGTTGACTGCCCTTTGAGGTTGTTTGGCAGGCAGCTCACTTCAAGGGAAATAAAGATGGGCAACAAATGTTGACCTCATCAGCAACACCCAGATCCTAAAAAAGCATAAAAAGCTCCCTGTGCTGGCAAATTCCACATTCTTTCTGAAACTCAAAACATATATGCTAGAAGCACAGTCTTTAAGACTTGATTCTACCGTTATTCTTCAATCATTTAAGTGGTTTTTTCACCTCATACCAATGTATCAAGTTAAAAAGACTAAATGCAGTGGACTCATTAGGAACATTCAAAAGGACAAGTAATAACAAAGAAATTCCTTTATCCCAATTAGAACATTTCTGGCAATAAACACAAATCATGATCTTCAAAATTTGATGCCTTTTTTTATTGCTTCTTGAGATTATGGGGGAGTAAACAGAAGATGTAAATTGTTTTATTCCTAAGTTAGTCATTGATTCTTTTACTTTATTTCATTCATGCCCATTTCCAGTTGTCCTTGAGAAGGTGGTGGTAAGCTGTCTTCTCAAACCACTGCAGTCCATTTTCTGTGGGTAGACCCAGAATGGGAGTTTGATCTAGCAGTGCTGAAGGAACAGTAATGTAATTCCAAATCAGAACGGTGAGTCACTTCATGCGAAACTTGCTACATATCTGCAGCTTTTGTCCTTCTAAATGACAGTGATTATTGGTTTGGATAATGCTGTCAATGAAGCCTGGGTCTGTACTGCATCTTGTAGATGGTACACACTGCTACTACTGAGCGTTAACAGTGGAGGGAGAAAATGTTTAAAGATGTGATGCCAATCAAGTGGTTTGTCCCGGATGGAGTCAAGATTCTGGAGCGTTGTTGGAGTTGCACTCATGTAGACAAGTGTGGTGTATTTAATCATACTTCTGACTTGTTCCTTGTAGATGGTGGATAAGCCTTTTGAGACAAGAGGTGAGTTACTTGTTGCACGTTTCCTAGCTTCTGATCTGCTCTTTTAGCAAAAGTATTTATATGGCTATTTAGTTGAGTGTCTAGTCAATGGTAATTGTTAGTGACATTTCATTTGAACTTTGATCTGATTGTATTTGTTTTGGTAATCCATTGTAAATATTTGAACTTAATTTTCCACAACAATTTTTGCAGCAATCTTTCCTAAAACCACTAGTTCAGGGAATCTTGTCGACACATTAATAATTGTTAAAAGATACTGATTCCCTAAGGAATGGTGGCCCTCAGATTAAATCACCATCAGTTGCCTCTCTCTAATGAGAGAGCAGCCCTATGATCTGGTAAGACTATGGCAACTTGACTTGACTTGAATCACAATCTGTAACACTATGGCTTTCAATTCCCTCACACCTTCTGAAGAAGGGTCCTGACCCGAAATGTCAGCTTTCCCGCTCCTCTGATGCTGCTTGGCCTGCTGCGTTCCTCCAGCTCCACACCTTGTTATCTCAGACTCCAGCATCAGCAGTTCCTACTATGTCTTCATAGCAATCAAGTTTGGAGATGGAACTATTATTGAATGTGGAAAAGTGGAAAGTAGAATGATGCACCAGCACCGGCACCAGCACCAGCAATTTAATGAGGCAACTTGTGAAATTCAGTGCAAGGCTATCTACATTCAAACAACAAAAAGCAGCAGACTACTGACAGTAGTCCCACAACCGATGGAACGATTACACTATGTTTACTTCAGAATGACAGTGGGTAATTAGACAAGCAAAGAGAGCGGTTTCTATGAACATTCCACCTTCAACCATAAGTGCAACATGTGAGTGACTAAGATGAACTAAAGTGTGTGCAAATGTCTTCAGCTAAAAATGCGAGGTTAATAACCCACTTGCCTCCTGCCAAAGTCTCCACTATCATAAAGTCCAGTCAAATTTCCTTACTCTTCATGACACTATAGAGCAAGAAGATATGCAATGATATAACAAAGCATGTGGACCTTGATGTTGTTTTGGCTGTTTTATTGAATATCTGTTTCTCAGATCTAAGCTCCTCTCCTAGCAAAACTATAATATGAAATGTCCTACCCACAAAAAAAGTGGAAATCTTACCAATTCAATCCCTTTCCTATCAGCAAAAGCAATATACTGCAGATGCTAAAAATGCTGGAAATTCTCAGCAGGTCAGGCAGCACCTGTAGAGAGAGGAACAGTTAACACTTCAGGCCACTGGTAATTGGTAATGTTAGAAACGTACCAGGTTTCAAGCAAGTAAAGAGGCTTGGCGAGAAAGGCAGGAGAAAAGTACAAAAGGGAAAGTCTGAGATAACGCAGTAGGACAAAAAACAAAATGGCAAAAGGGATACGGGTGGAAGGCAAAATGAAATAACAAGAGAGACAAACTAGAGGAAATGTAAACAGGATTTGCTGAATCACCACCAACAGAATTTATCCGAATGATTTTGGGTAGAAGTTACAATCTGAAATTGTGGAATTCAGTGATGAGTGGAGGCTGTAAACTGCCTATAAACTGTTCTTTAAGCTTATGTTGAGCTTCATTGGACCATTTGTAGGAAGCTGTGAACAGAGGGTTCAGAACACAATTGAGGCACAGAATTAAAATGACAGACAGTCAGAAGGTTGGAATCGTACTTATGAGTTAAACAGACATTTCTGCAAAGTGCTTATTCACTGTATGTACACTAACCCCCAAAGCTACCATGCACTTTTTCCTACTGTCCTGTAAAGACTTTATTCCATTTGCCCAGGTCCTCTTTTTCTGTCATATCTGTTCTGACTATGCCTCCTTTTTCCACCAGGACATCCATCATGTCTTCCTTTTTCACGAAATGAGTGTTATCCCAACATGGTTGATAGCTAGGGTCCTTGAATGTATTGTTCTATTTTCCACACTTCCTTCCTATATCTCCCAGAGCCATTGCAATGGCCTCTACATACATTGGCATGAAATGTTGACTTTGTTTCTGTCACCACGGATACTACATGACCTCCTGAGTATTTCCAGCATTTTGTTTTCATATGCCTATTCACCTCCTTGACTATCATATCAACTAGGAGGCAAGGTTGCAGAATGAGGATACACATGTAAAACAGATGCCAGTGGATTTCATCTCCCAGAGGGTAATAAAAGTCTGGAATTTTCTACCCCAAAGAGTTGTGATGGCTAGATCACTGAAAAGACTGTAGATAGAATTTGAAATATTGAGGATTTGAGGGCTATGATGACCTGGCAAGAAAGAGGATTCAAAGTCTGGGCAGATCAGCCATGAAATTGTTGAACAGTGGGTCAGGCATGAGGCGCCAAATGCTCTACTCCTGCTCTTACTTCTTGTATTCTTTTGCACTCAGCATTCCGAAAAGTAATATTTAGCTTTCATGGATACATTTTATGATATATTGTGTATGGTTCTAGTCTTACCAGCGGTGAAACAGGTATTACTGGCTGAGCTGTTTGGCATGTTTTGAATGCAGCGAAATAGCGTCAGCACAGATTGTTCATTCCCAACAACATTAGCCTTCCTCTTCTGGACTACATGACCCATGGCCATGCAGTTATCATAGTAAAGAACCTGTGAAATGAACAGCAATTACAGAGTCAGAATGCAGACACTAAATACATATGGAGTACCAAACTTAGGGATACTCACATATGGCTGGCATTAGAACATGTTAAATACAGTCTTGGATGTTCATGTACAGAAAAGTGCTAACACTTTGTTGTCAGGCAAGAACACGTTGAAGTAATTTGTAACATGTGAAACATTAAAGAATTTGATTTAAAAATTCTCCTACAGAATTAACTGTTAGGCAAATTAGGATTCTTTTTTTCTTGTTGGTAACTCTGGCAATACTGATACTCTGTGCTTCAAGGCACTGTTTGCTAATTAGATATGTTGGGGTTGCTAATTACAATGGGTGAAATTATACTTTGTTAATTACCGTAGGCAGGGTTAGGAATTACTAATTACAATAAGTAGAGCTATTGATTGCTAATTATAATTAGGGTGGTTGAAAGGTTGCTATCATATTATTGATTGAATTGTTAATTTGAATAAACATGAATACAGTTGGTTAATTAGAGCAAGGGAGGTGAGGGTTTTGTTAATGATTGGAATGTGGATGAGTTACTAATTAGGGTAAATGTAGTTGGTAGTTGTTAATTTGAGTAGGAGGAGTTGGTGATTAAAGTATCTGAAGATCAGGGTTAATTGAAGTAGATGGGGAATGGCATTGGTTGGAGTAGGAAGTTTGGGAGTTGTTAATTAGAATAAGTGCTGCTGAATTTGCTAATTGAACACATTATTAATTGAAGGTATTATTCAGAGCCAGTCAAATGATATAAAGCAGTATCATTACTGTAACTGTGAAGTCATAGGCTATATGTCATTATTATTGAACCAAACAAGTAACATGACTGAATGTGAGATAGTAGGAACTGCAGATGCTGGAGAATCCGAGACAACAACGTGCAGAGCTGGATGAACACAGCAGGCCAAGCAGCATCATAGCTTGGCCTGCTGTGTTCATCCAGCCCTGCACCTTGTTGTCTAACATGACTGAATGTGTATGTTTTTGGTTTGCTTTGTTCGTCAGAGTAATTACAGTTCTCTAAATAGATGTTGTAAGTTCTTGCTAAGAGAAAAATTAGAATCCACCATATCACATACTGACATTGCAGATCACATCCATATTAATCTAAAAACAAGAGCTGTCTTATTCTGAGTAGATGGGAGCTGGGTTAAGGTATACCTCTTCTCCGTTTCGTGTTTCTTCAAAAATAACAACAACTTCATCCAGCTCTACATCTTGTTGTCCCAACAACTTCAAATATGGTTTAGAGGAGAATAACCGTGATTTCATAGGAGGAACTTTCATGAAAAAATTCAAAACATACACATAATGTAAACTACCTACTGATAATTATACTTCCTCAAACTATCTGACTTTTACATTTTACATCCTTTGTTAATTACTGTATCTTAGTTGTTGTTAGCCAGTTACGTTGTGTAGCTGGTCTCAGTCAATCCATAAGCCATTTAGCTGATACCATTTCTATTCACAGAAGAAAGGAAATAGCAAGCCAAAACGCATTTAATTAACCGTAATCTTTTTCTGTTCTGTTTCTAACAGCATAACTACATTTTAGAATAGTAATAGTGAATTCCTTTAAAAAATGACAACCTGAAAAGAAAGTTTAATTCACAGTTTGTTTTTAAAACACTGCTGAATGGGGGAGCTCCAGTTGATACTCTTTGCCAATCTGTTTCTATTTGTAAAGCTCTAATGTTTCTTTTGGCGATTTAAAATGTAATAAATATTATTGTATGGTCATTGCAAACCAATTTGTCACATACCCTGTAGATGTTTAGCCATTCTTCTACCTTATAGGTTTCATCTGTCATATCAGTTTTGCATGTTTTTCTTTCTGGTTATCATTAGTTTTATTAGCTAATTACACTGTTCAAATCTTTCACCTAATTTCAATTCCCTCATCACTTTTCACCCCAAACCACAATCCCATTTGATTAAAATTCACATTCTATCTATAGGGAGCTATGATAATGGACCAGTTATTCCGATGGCAGAATCAGAACAGTGCAAGACTGGAGTTGTATGCCGGGACCATGAAGAACCCTAGCCACAGGACACCCCATGGGACTTTTCTGGGATATTGAATTGCTAATGGGCAATGGCCCTATGTCTGAAGCCCTCCAAAAGAGTCCATATAGTCAAAGAATTTGAATAGTTCTGACTAATAATTACTTGTGAAAAATTAGCCAATTAGAAACTTACTCTTAATCACAGGTAACTATTAAACTAAATGCCTGGCTCAATATTGAAACATGCCTCCCCACTCCCCATTCCTCTACACATCCCCAGCCTCTGACATCATCACACCAACCACCAACCACCCAACATGATTCCAACACTCTCCTAGGACCCAATGCCCCACTAACGGCCTGACTCCCTGTCAACTGGCCTAACTCCTCCCCACTTGCCTCCTTGGGAACTGACACACATTTTGCTTCCAGAATGATCACAAATCCCCCACTCCTCCCTCAGATTCTTTGACCCCTTTAGCCTTTAGAGGTATATCTAATTCTTGAAAGCATACAATATTCTGGCCTCAACTGCTTTCTATGGCAGAGAATTCCACAGGCTTACCTATCTGTGGGTGAAGAAATTTCTCCTCATGTTAGTCCTAAATGGCCTATCCCCTAAGCTTGAACTGTGACACCTGGTTCTGGACTCCCTGACCATCAGGAACATGCTTCCTGCATTTACCCTGTCTAGTCCTGCTAGAATTTTATCAGTTTCCATGAGATCCCCTCTCTTTCTTCAAATCTCCCTAATAAAGCCCTAATTGATCCAATCTTTCTACATACATCAGTTCTGTCATCCCAGACTTCAGTCTGGTAAGCCTTTGTTGCATTCCTTCATAGCCAGAATATCCTGCCTCAGATAAGGAGACCAAAACCAAACATCACACTCCAGATGTTGTCTCATCAAGGTCCTGCATATATGCAGCAAAACATACCTGCTCCTGTACTTGAATCCTTGCAATATGAAGGCAACATACCATTCGTCTTCTTCACTGTTTGCTGCACCTGCATTGCTTTCTTTCAGCGACTGCTCTACAAGGACACCCAGGTATCTTTGCACCTCTCCCTTTCCCAAGCTATCACCATTCAGAGAAAATCTGGTTCCTGTTTTTGCTACCAAATGGATAACCTCACATTTATCTCATTATATTTCATCTATCTATTGTGGATAGATAGACGATGGAAGATAGCATTCAGAGATTAGTTTCTTAATTTAACAGATTAGGCCTAATATATCTCATACTATCATGTATTTGCAATAAGCAGAGTTCTAATGAACCCTAAGTCTGAAGACACTTCTTCATCTGACCTTTTCCTTGACCAGTCTGCCGTGAACCTAAACTCATGGTTGCGGGTATAAATCATGAGACAAAAACTACTGATGGGATGGGATCCACTGCCTAGAAAATTATGGCAGCACTGATGATTAAAAAACACATCTGAAACTGTTTGGAGTAGGGAAGAACTAAAAAGAAAAATTGCCTTTTCAAAAAATTGTTGGTACAGTTTTAGAACTAGCTTGCAACTGAAGAGCCACAAAGCTGAAAACCACACTGAAGGAATAATCTCTGAACAGAAATCTCCAGCTGAGAAATCATCAAAGACAACAGTTAGCATTTTATAGCCAGTAATAGGGGAAAACAAGCTTTTCAGAAATTGGTGGGGAGTGGGGCCGGGGTGGAGTCAGTAGGGCGTGGGGGAGTAAGATAAAGAGTGTCAGCAATAAAAGCCATGTTGCAGCAAAGAGAGTAATTTCTGATTGAGCACCCATGAAAAAGAGCCAGACTTTACACTGAATTTAGCATTTAGAATGCCAAAACATAAATAGCTTTCAGCTTTAGTACAACATCAATCTTTACAACAACAAAGCAACAAGAACTTTAATCAACTCAGATTGTAACTAGACATCAAAGTGAGTGTAATACAAGGGCATTGGAATCCTAACAGACATCATCCAAGTGTCATCAAGTGCCTTTTGCAAAACCAGCCAAGGCAGCAAAATTGAAAAGTATCGATCTTTCTACCAGAGAAAGAATCAAGCTAGTGGATTCATTTGTAGGTCAGTAAATTGACAAATATAGAAAGCACACAATCCCTAACATTTCAAACGTTTCAAATGATTGGACATAGATCAATTGCAGAACAGGTCAGCACACTTCTGTACTGTGTGGGAAGAACATAAGAGCATATGTTATACAGAAAACAGATCAACGACAAACAAATTATGTTGACACCCTCATAAGAGCCATTTGATTAATATTTCACTTCAACAACAAATGAAACACTGGTTAGCTCATGTTTCAATAGCATATGCCAATTCCCAGGAGAGTCTGTAGACAGCTTCATTAACAACCTGTGTGTGCTATCTGAACCTTGCAACTATGGAAATTTACAACAGGAACTCATTTGTGACAGCATTATACTAGGGTGAGCTACGTGGTGCATGCTGAGATGTTGCTATATGATTTGGCTGAGAAAGTGGGCAAATGAATGGCAGATGCAGTATAAATGTGAGGTTATCCATGTTGGTAGCAAAAATAGAAAGGGAGATTAACTTTTGAATAGTTGTAAATTGAGAGAGGGGAATGTTCAACGAGACCTGGCTGTCCTCCTGCACCAGTCACTTAATGTGACTGTGCAGGTGCAGCAGGCAGTGAAGGAGGCAAATGTATGCTGGCTTTCATAGTGAGTGTATTCAAGTACAAGAACAAGGATGTCTTACTATAATTGTACAGGGCATTGGTGAGGCCACACCTGATATACTGTGTACAGTTTTGGTCTCTTTGTCTGTGGAAGGATGCTCTTGTTATGGATAGAGTGCAGCAAAGGTTTACCAAATTGATCCCTGGGATGGCAGAACTGACAAATGAAGTGAGATTGAGTCGGTTAGGATTATGTTCACTGGAATTTCGAAGAAAGAGAGGATCTCTTAGAAACCTCTAAAATTCTAACAGGACTGTACAGGTTTGAAGCAGGAAGGATATTCCTGATGGTAGGGAAATCCAAAACCAGGGGTGATGGTTTAAGGATAAGGAGGAAACCTTTTGGGACTGAGATGAGGGGAAATTTCTTTACCCAGACAGTGGTGAGCCTGTGGAATTCACAACCACAGAAAGTGGTTGAAGCCAAAACACTATGCATCTTCATGAAGGAGGTAGATATAACTCTTTTCGCTGAAGAGATCCAGGGATATGGTGGGAGGGCGGAACTAGGGAATTGAGTTTGATGATCAGCCATGATCATAATGAATGGTGGAGCAGGATTGATGAGTCATATGGCCTGCTTTTGCTCCTATCTTCTTTGTTTCTATGTCATTATCATCAAATCAATATTGAATATCCTTAATCAAAAGAGGACCTAGCTCGAGAACAAGCAGTCCAAATAGCTGTGCATACAGAGTTCAGATAATTGTTTAAGAACCATTATACACCAAATGTAGAACACACTACGGAGAGTAGTACTCTTCCTACTAAATAGTACTACTTAAAACAAAATAGTGCATTGAACCAGGGAAGACAGACCTATAATTTAAAAATATACCATATGTGACTTCAGTGGGAACTCCTAAGCAATTTAATGTGACAGCATCTTGTAACAGGTATAGTTTCAAATCTCCACATCAGCAAAGAAAATATTGTCTGGTCTTATCCCATTAATGTATTCAGTGTAGGAAAAGAGGTCATTTCTTGAAGAGGCACTACAATCTAAAGAACAAACCAAATTGTTTCCAAGGCAACATGTATATTCAGATCTTGGAATAGAGCCTGGAAAAACATCTCAATTATGCAATGGAGTAAACTTCTCCATATGAGGAACAACTGTCTGTGGAAAACTAACTTTACTCTTCCTTAGGAGAAATTAAACTGTCGCCGGGTGTACACCTGACAAATGCATCTACATAAATGGTTATCCAAGTTTTAGCTGGATGCTGGTGCCAGCATCAAAGTGATCTCAGATGACACAGATCATTAGTTAGGGTGAATGTATTATAACCTGTTTGAAAGCTGTGTGCAGATGCAGGCACCATACCTACAGATAAGGGGCTGTTGCATGTTGTACTGACATTCAAAAATCACACATATCTGAAGAAAGTATATATCATCAGTGCTGCGATCTTCCCCATTGAATAAGAAGGCACCTTTTTTCTTCAACCTCCTCGGTCGGGTATAAGAACTCTCAAAAACTGCAAAAAATCTTAGCGTGCCAGTATACAGGACTGGGAAAGCTTGAAACTCCTTGTAAAGTTACTTTGAAAGGTGATGACAAGCCAGCCTTTGTCTTTACACCCAGGAAGATCTGGGTGATTAGTCTGTCCTGAACCCAAACTTATGTATGTGTGCAGAAAACCGGATGTGTTCTGATGAAGGTTCACCGGACTTGAAATGTTAACTCTGTTTTTCTCTCCACAGCGGCTGCTAGATCTGAGTTTCTCCAGCACTTTCTGTTTTCGTTTCAGGTCTCCAACATCAACAGTTCTTTGTTGTATTTTGTTACAGAAGAGAATACTGTGTTAACTGTTCATTCATTATGGTGCATTCCTATCCAGTTGGGAATGCTCAATAGAGCTGTTTGACCATGTCATGCTTTTCAGTTATAAACAACATTGTAAAACTGACATTCTAACCTCTTATTGCTTTTCAATATTGTACCCACGAGGTTTTGCATTGATGTGCTTAAGTATTATTTAACCTCAAATTACGTCAATTAGGTTTATTCTGTAAACACAAGTATTAAACATTTATTGCAATTTAAATAAAGAGAAATAAGAATACTGAGACTATCTCACATGTTCTCCAATGTTTGCCATTTCAATTAAAAGGTACTGATTAATCCTGGGCAAACTATCCCAGAGAGATCCTAGCGAGTGGTTGCCAACTTAAGTTGGATATACTCCCAAAGGTTTTATCACATGACCGCCTGCCTACAACTATCTTGCACATCCAAACAGACTTTTTTTATCTGCAAAATTTTTATAGCCATTTTTTAAAAACAGTACTTAAAAGAAGTGAAAAAAACTTTTTTATGACCCTGTAATTTTTCTGTCAGTTCTCTGAGTTGTTGGCATTATCTATGTTGTTCTTATGGAAACAGGTTTTCACTATGACCTGAGCGGAAAAGTACTGGAAGAATGCCCAAACTGTAACATTCCACTAAGGTAAACACAGCTTATGGTTAGCAACCACACTTATGATTCCAGTACATGGCAAGTTATGAGAAAACTGACATTCCAAATTTGTCCTGTGATGCCAGCTCTACAACTTGTTAGTTATTTAAGGTTACGCTTACCTGACTGTACACAGTGTAATAACCACTCTCTCTCACAACTATTTTGTTGGAAATTGCCTTCAGTGCCTCACCCTTCTTTGAAGCCACAATCCAAGGAATAAAGGTTGAATCTTCTGCTGGTATAAGATTGATGTAGCAATGAAGAATACTTCAACAAAGCAAGGATATTATTGCAGTTGCATGGATATTACAAGCTATTATAATTTGATTTGCAAAGGCAATACATACTGGCTGAGTTAATTCAATGCTAATGTTAAAAGAAAGCACATCATGAATACAAATCTCTTTTCTAAGAATTTACATTCATGTTTTATTAATTGCTTACTTAAACAGTTTGAAATATCTGATTTCATTAACTGACCTTCAATAATTTGTATTTTACTCAATTTTAATGTTTTCATCTTATTTTTAAATAATGAATACAGCTGTTACTTGTGAAATGAGAAAACATGAACTTCCAGAGGAAGTGGTGGATGTGGGTACAGTTATAATTTTTAAAAGACAGTTAGATAAGTACATGAATAAGAAATGTTTGGAGGGATATGGGCCAAGTGCTGCCAGGTGGGATTAGCTAAGTATGGGATTATGGTCAGCATGGACCGAAGGGTCTGTTTCTGTGCTTTATGACTCTATGACTATAAGTGTTTTATCTCTGGCAAACATTGTTACTATAAAGAAAAGATAAAGAAGACTGGTAGGGCATTTGAGGCTTTTTTAGTGCTTGAGATATAAGGATTGGCAATTTTAAATTTCCACTTACCCTGCCCCACCCTATTCCACATAACTTTCTGGGACATTTTGGAAAATATAATTAGATCTCACCATCTACTCTCTGATCTGTAATGCTGGGATATTAACGCATTGGACTGAATTTTGCTGGCCACTGAACAATGTGAGTGTTGTAGAGAAAGTGGCAAAATCACATGAGAATGACACTAAAAAGATTCCACGTATTGAGAGAAAAATATGCCATTTTCCAACCAAGTGTTGAATGGGAAGATGGGATTCTCAGTAGTGAGCAGCAAGAAGCACCACATCAAGGCATAGTTCAGGGTCAGTAACTGCATGTATTCCCCTTCTACCAGGACTTCCAGGTCCGTGTCAGCAAAGTTGGATGCTAATTTCTCTTTGTTCAACATGTCTGGGGTAATTGACAGAAACCATGCAGGGCAGCTCCAGATTGACAGATCTTAACCTGGTGTAGAGCTGGGCTTTAAAGATGGCATTAGCATTGGTGAGTATTTCCACCTCTGTCAAGTGAGCAGAGTGAGCACCACCAAGGTGTCGTACATAGATAAGACATTGAGTTTCAGATAACAGTATAAGAAATCTTACTAGCGCTCATGAACAGAAATCCTCCATGAAAAGCACCAAAATTGACACAGCTGATTTCCAGTAAAATTCAGGCCATCATATCATTGTGTGCCAGTTCTGGCAACAAAGTGCAAAATAGGTCACAGAACTTTCTTTTAATTGCAATGTTAACCGAAAGTAAAACTTTGGAAATCATTTGACAGGTAAAGTCCATATCATAAATATTTTTTGCTGATAAACAAGTTTTGCAGCAAGAGGAAGGTTAGTCACAGAAAATGCGTTTATAATTTTAAGCCACTGCATCATTGGTAGTGTGATGGATTGTCAATAAATAGTCATCAAGGACAGGGATATATGTTCACACCTTTGTCTTTGACACCTTGTGTTGCTGATCTTGAATAAATTAGTGTGGAAAAAACTTGGACTTATTTAAAAAATGAAACTGGCTGAAGATGAGTGAAAGTAGGAGGAGAAATTTGAAACAAATAAATAAAATTATGACACGATTCAGAGAAATCCTAGTTACTTTAGAGAGAAAAGTCCCTTATGAGCTGCAAGTGTAGAAAATGCTCAGCTGGAATCTTCCACTCTAATAACACTCGAACATCTTGGAAAACTATGTCATGTTCTACAAACTCTCCCTAAACCCTTTGTTAGGGCACTTTAAAACTCTGTAATCAGGTTTGTCATCCTTCTTAGTTTTTCTTTGTCTTAGCCTCCATTATTTTTCCTTCTGAAACTGTGAGGTGTGTTGGGGGATTTTCCTATCTTAAATGTGCCTGATAAATGCAAGTTATTTTGATTGCACTTTGCCACCATAATAAAGGTCATCCCCAAGATTTTATCTTATGTATCTAATGTATACTGTTTCATATCAATCTTGCTCAGTATTCCTGACTGTTAGGTGTGAAGTGGAACTTCTGAGAAGGGAGGAAAGTAAGTTGCTAGAAAACAAGCAGAATCTGACATAAAATCATAAGAATTTCTTTGCTTCACTGTTTGCAGAAGAACTTGGCACTGAGGAAGAATTAACACCCAAAATGCTTAAAACAAGATGAGTTAAAGGAAAAGTATTAGAGGATGTAATTAAGCTAAAGAAGCTCAAAATGTCAGGGTTTCACATACGATATCCAAGGATCCAAGAGGAAATGGGGTGTAAAAAACAGTAGAGACCCCAAAAATTGTATTTCAGGGTATTACGCAGTATTTACAGCACAGAAAAACCCTGTTGAATTACCTTGCAAAATTATGCTTTTCCTAGCATTAGGAATCAGCTGGAGGAATGATATCTGTCCTGCAAAGAAAATATTGGTTAATATTTCATTAATTGCAATTATTATCACCTTCTTCACTGATAAATAATGACCCTGAATGCTTTGCATTAAATTGGGTGTTGCAGTTCCCCTTTTTGTAATCACTATAATGTAATGTAGCCTTGATCCAACCATTCCACACAGTGAAATATGGAATCCAAACGTGGCCTTAACAAAACCTCCTCCTTGGTTACAATCAAGCATGGATCGATACGGCCTTCAAACAATGCATTTAAATGTTAACATGAATCTAATTGTGGATTTAAGTATAGATGTTCTTCATTATCGTGCTTGGCACTATGCCCTCCAACAATAGAAAGTGAGTCTTTCTCTCCCCACCTTTCCCTAAAATGCTCTCCTCTTTAATCAGGTCTCTCTCAGGCTTCACATTCAGTAGATCGTCTCCCCTCCCCAGAAGACCCGAGATCCCATTCTCAACTCCCATGGTATATACCATGCATAGGTGGACTATTGTGCCATATTGGTGTGCTGGAGACCAAGCATGTATGTTAATGAAAAAATTTCTGAAAAAGTTTAATAGTAGCTCTTAGCATCTGCATTGTTCATCAGCAAAATGATGTTCAGGATGGCTTTTACAAAGGAATTAAGTGCTTTTAATTCTTCTTTATTTTTGTTCCTATCTGTTTTGTGTCATCTTGTGATGATGAAATTAGCCACTGCCAGTACTGCAACATATGAACTAAGAATGAATTGACAACTGAATTTCCAACTAAACCTTTGGAGATGAATAGTGACATGTATAAAATAAGTTGCTTAATTGCTAGTAGTCTGATTTGCAGTACTGAGCAGAGAATAAAATGGAATATTAACTTCTGAGGGAGTGACAGTGAGGGAAGGTATGTGTACAAGAGGTTGGCTAGCCAATGGGCAGGTAGATTTGGCATTAGGCTGAAGATGTAGAGATGAGAGAAAGGAAAGAAGGATGGAAAGGCCAGGGTTCTTTTAGTGGCACCCTGAAGGATTAGGAGAACTTTAAACGTCAGTAAAGGGTTACTAAAAATGAAATCAAAAGAGCGAAGAGGAGCTACGAAACGAAACTAGCAGAAACATAAATGCTGATACCAAAAGTATGGAAAAAGGATGAGAATAGTGAAAGTAAATGTTGGTCCTTTAGAGAATGAAAATGGTGAGGTAACAATGAAAACTCAGAAATAGTAGAGGTACCAAAGCAATATTTTGTCTCTGTTTTCACAGTGGAAGATAATAGTTTCTTCCCTAAACTACAAAGGAACTTGATGAAATTACTATAACTAGGGTGAAGTTACTAAGTAAACTGATGGGATTAAAGGCTGATAAGTCCCCGGGGCCTGATGGCCTACACCCTACGGTAGTAAAGGAGATGGCAGCAGAGATAATTGATGCATTAGTTACGATTTTCCAAAATTCCATGGATTCTGGAAATGTACCTGTGGAATGGTACATGCTAATGTGACACCCTTACTCAAAAAAAGGTGATTGGCAAAAAGTGGGAAACGATGGACTGGTTAGTTTAATCTCTGTAGTGGAAAAGTTGCCGGAGTCAATCATGAAGGAGGAAATAACTGAACACTTGGAAAAACAAAACTTAATTCACCAGTGTCATGGTTTCCTGAAGGGCAAGTTGTGTTTGAGAACATTGCTGGAGTTCTTTGAGGATGTAACCAGCAAGCTAGACAATGGGGATCTGGTGGATGTGGTACATCTAGACTTCCAGAAGGCATTTGATGGGGGGCCACATTCAAGACTCATCCAGAAGGTTAGATCCAGGGGGTTAAGGGTAGAGTATTGGCTTAGATAGAAGATTGGATAACTGACAGAAAGCAAGGTGTCAGGATAAATGGATCTTTCTCTGGGTGGAGAACGATAACTAACGGAGTGCTGTAGTTCAGTTCTCGTACCTGAACTATTTACAATCTATATAAATGATCTGCAAGCAGGGACAGAGTATAACATAGCAAAGTTCGCAGATGGTACTAAAATAGGTGTGAAAGCAGGCAGTTACCAGATGACTCTGGATAGGCTAGGAGAATGAGCCAGAATCTGGAATTTAATGTGGATAACTGCAAAGTTGTCCATTTTGGATGGAAAAATAAAAGGGCAAATTATTATTTAAATGGGAAGCAGATTTAAAGTGCGTCAGTGCAGAGGGATCTGGGTGTCCTTGTGCATGAATCACAGAAAGTGGGTATGCAGGTGCAGCATATAATAAGAAAGGCAAGTGGAATCCTGGCAAAAGGACTGGATTATAAAAGGAAAGAACTGTTGTTACAGTTATATAAGGCACTGGTGAGACCACACCTGGAGTATTGTGTTCAGTTTTGGTCTCCTTACTTGAAGAAGGATGTGGTGGCAGTTCAGAGGAAGTTGACCAGAATAATTTGTAGGGAGTGCAGATTCCAGGGATGAAAGGGCTGTCATACCAGGAACGGTTGAACAGTTTGGGATTGTACTCGCTGGAGTTCAGAAGAATGAGAGGGAATCTGATTGAGGTATATAAAATAAGATAGACATTGAACGGATGTACTCCCTTGTGTGACAGTATCGAACAAGAGGTCATAGCTATAGAGTCAGAGGAGATCGGTTCAAAACTGAGATCAGGAGACACTGTTTCTCTCAGAGGACTTTGAATCTGTGGAACTCACTGCATTAGAGTGCAGTGGAGGCAGAATCAATCAACAGATTCAAGAAAGAAATAGACATATTTCTGATTAAGAGTGGGATAAAGGGCTATGGAGCAGGCAGGAAAGTGGAGTTGAGTCAAGGATAAGATCATCCATGATCGTGTTAAATGGAGTAGCGGGCTCAAAGGGCTGAATTGCCTATCCCTGCTCCTATCTCTATGTTCCTATGGTCATCTGGGATGGGGGTGTAATATCAGAGGAATTATTGTGGTATGGGTCAGGCATGACATTGGAAGCCAGGAGGGGATGGAGATGGGAAGATTAATGGGAAGATTCTGGATGACAGCAGCCTTGCCTGTTTTCCTTTCTTGTGATAAGCGCCTAGATTCTGCTAGGCATCGCTCACCCAAAAAATCTCAAGATTCCAACTGAATCAGGAACTTTGCCTGCAGTAGAAATTGTGCAGCAGTGGAGTTTTTGCAAATATTCAATCATTTCATCACATCAAAGAGCTAAAGCATCATTCTCCACAGGGCCAGGGATCAGAGGCAGGAGATGATCATATCTGCACAGCCAGAATGACAGTTCTACCCTTTTACCCTCCTTGGCTATTCTTGGAGAGACACAGTGGGTGGCAGCAGGGTGAGATTTCCAGGTGACCTCCAGATCCCCACCATGGCAGGTGCTAGTTTAAGTGCCTGGAATCTTCTACCAGTGAGAGACTGAGCTGGTTGGCAAGGGTTTAGGGAAAGGGCATGTTACACAGGGGTGGAGAGACCTTCCCTGCTGACCTTGGTGCAGGACCAGCCACAGTCCACCATCTCCAGGGTTTCCTCCACACAGTGATGGTGTTGCTATAAGATCCATATTTTTAGTTTTTTTTTTAGAAAGGTTATAGAGAGAGTATCTGCATTTCAAATCAGCTGGTCCCTTTTATTACCCTATTGCAGCTTACTGTTTCTTCCAAGCCTCTGATTGGCCCCTCCAGCTTTGAATGTTTGCCTGCCAGTATTAAGAGAAGGGACAAGACACTCTCCAAAGCAATTAAAGTTGTTTTGTCAGTGAAAATCAGCACCGATGAGTACTTTCACCAAGGGACATGTAAACAATCCAGACCTTTGTTTTCTGCACCCAAAGAGAAAATCCTACCCTTTGTATCAGAGTTCCAGTATGTTGAAACCCACAATACTTTTGAGTTCATTTTGAATGTAATTTATAATCAGTCACTTACTTTCACAGGATCTTACATCCCTCCTTTTCCTTGAAATGCTCCTGAGATCATAGCTCTTCTCATTCAGTCCAGTTAACTGCTCTTTTATTTGGGATTTGGCATTATAGCTATTTTTCAAATTTTCGGACAGATCTTCCTATGGACAATTATAAACAAAATGTGTCTTGAAACATTTTACCCATTGTTTTCTCATCTCCCCTGAAGCTCTGATTCTCACTGTGTTGTTCAACAGATTGTGGCATTTCTCTAAAGCCTTATCCCATCAGCCATTCTGCATGTGGTAAATTGATACTAACTGAATGCCAACACAATAATCTACAATGGGATTCCTGGCGCTGCTCCTAATCTGGTCAATGCCTAACATATGCATTTGCCAAAAAGTCACAATGAAAAACAGATTGAGGAAACTTAGGTGACATTTTCCATTGCAATTTTAGGTTGCAGAGCCCAGTTGTAGCCCAAATTATTAAATCAGCACATCCAATGTGACCCAGCTGCACAATGGCATTGTACTTAGAATCATAGAATCCCCACAGAGTGGAAGCAGGCCATTTGGCCGATTGACTCCTCACCAACCCTGCAAAGAGCATCCAACTCAGACCCACCCCCATACCCTGTCCCTCTAACCCTGTATTTCTCATGGCTAATCCACCTAGCCTGCACATCCCTGAACACTACGGGCAATTTAGCATGACTAATCCATCTAACCTACACATCTTTGGATTATGTGAGGAAATACATGCAGACACAGGGAGAATGTGCAAACTCCACACAGAAGTCGCCTGAGGATGGAATCAAACCTGGGTCCTTGGTGCTGTGAGGTAGCAGTGCTAACCAATGAGCCACCATACTGCCCCAAATCTTAGCTACTTAGCTACAACACCTGAAGCTCTGAGGAATGTATTTAATTTTCTCTTTTTCATCTCTTCCCACAGCTTGCAATGTTCTCTCTCAGAAGGACTTATGATGTACCAATTACAATAGCAGTGGATGTTCACTAGAACAGGCTTCCAGCCCTCTGCCAATGCTCCTTTTCAGCTGTATGCTAAAAGCTGCACAAAAATGACAAGGCTCAATGTTTCCTCTCAGCATCTGGAGAGATTCCTCAATAAGAAGAGAGAGAAATCTTTTCCCAGCATGGGCCATCTTACTACTCCATAAAAATATTAATGCTGCCATGTTTACAGGTGACAGAGCATTTGGAGCATTGATATTTATCTCTTGAATTTTGATTTCACTTTTGTCTACAATAATGGAACAAAATAGTTTTTTTTTTAATTGATTCATGAGATGCGAGCATTGCTGACTGGGCCAATACTTATTATCCATCCTTAATTGCTCTGGAAAAGGTGGTGTTCACTGTCATCTTGAACTATTGCAGTCCATTTAACTGACTCATCCAATTCTACTTCTGGCCAATAGTAACTCCCAGGATGTTAATAATGTGGCATTAAGTGATGGTCATGCCATCAAATGTCAGTGGGTAGATTGTTGTTGGAGATAGTCATTCCCTGGCACTTGTTTGTAGCGACTGTTATTTGCCATTTGTCAGCCTAAACCTGGACATTTTCCAGGTCTTGCCGCATTCAGATATAGACTGCTTCAGTGTCTGAGGAGTCACGAATAGCACAAATATTATATTGTCATCAGTGAATGTCCCTACTTCTGACATTATGATGTACGGAAGATCATTGATCAAACAGTTGAAAATCACTGGACCTAGGACTGTATCTATACTCAGAAGTTTCAATTCACTCTATTTTGGTTTGAGTCCATGATACTAAACATTTGAACTAAACTGGCAGATCCTCTCATAAATTGAACACCCTTCAAGGTATTCTTCTGATATTGGTGGGCTTTTTTACAAGCTCGCCAATTGCCCTGCTTCCTGTAATGATTTAATTCCGTTCTATCAGCTACTCAATCTCCGTCACATCTGTACTAACAATACCACCCTTGCAACATGTCTTGCTTTTTCCACAAGTGATGATACCCCCCATCTGTTGCAGACAGAACCCTCCATTATGTACAAACCATTTCCTGCACCTCTGCTCTCAACCCTTCCCCTCCCTCCCAGAACCTTGATAGGGCTCCTCTTGTCCTCATTTTCCACAGCATCAGCCTTTGTCTTCAAAGGATTAGCATCTGATCTTTCAGCTACCTACAGCATGACATCATCACCAAAAACATCTTGCCCTTCTCTCTCTGTCAGGATTGTGAAGTGACCATCCCCTCTGCAACACCTTCTCTATTACTGCAAATGAAAACAACATGAGAAATACAGAGACAACAAGGTGTAGAGCTGGATGAATACAGCAGACCAAGCAGCATCAGAGGAGCAGGACCTAGGCCCGAAACGTCAGCTTTCCTGCTCCTCTGATGCTGCTTGGCCTGCTGTGTTCATCCAGCTCTACACCTTGTTATCTTAGATTCTCCAGCATCTGCAGTTCCTACTAACTTTGAGAAATACAGTCAGAATGTTTCCTTACCATTTCTTGTTCATGTTCCACTGAATCATCCTCAAGATTTACCCTTGCCCTCTTGCTAAAAACATTAAGTTGTTTGTGGACTTTTGCCAGTTCACTCCGTAGATCTCTTATTTGCTGCAGTAACATGACCAGAAGTGACAAGCAGCATAACACAGCGAAAAAGAGAACAACAATAGTTCCAATCAGACCTCTCGAGGTAGATCTGGTCCTTGTGTCTGGTAATTTAATCCAACATTTGGCTTGCATAGTTACTTAAATAAATAAAGTTTTTTAGTCCAAGTCACTCAGATACATAAAATGCTTTTACTCAACAGAGGAAGTTCACATGACAGAAGACGCTATTTTGAAATCGCCACAGGAAATTGCATGTCTGCACAAATATTTGCATATTTACATTTTTTTGTTAAAAGGGCATTGTCGCCTATAATTTCTAGTCCTAATTCAAACTTAAGCAATCAAACAATAATAAATCTTTTACTTAACAATAAACCTGCACCACAAAATTTTCCTTCAATGATTTTAAATAGCAGTAAATTTTCAAATTTCTATACCTCCCTTTCAATGACATTCCTTCAGAGTTAATGCACAGTATATAGCAACAAAGCTTTGATTGCTTGTTGACTACTTCATAGACTGTAAAGTACTGTTAGAAAAATGACACTAAGGAATATAAAATTTTGAAAGTTTACTCTCAGGATTCGGATGTTGTTGGCAATTATTGTCCATTCATAGGAAGATGGTTGTGGTTGTGGTTGTTGGAGGCCAGTCATCGCAGCTCCAGGACATCTCTGCAGGAATTCCTCAGGATAGTGTCCCAGACCCAAACATCTTCAGCTGCTTTTTCAATGACCTTCCCTCCACCATGAGGTCAGAAGTGGGCTATTTGCTGATGATTGTGCAATGTTCAGCACCATTCACAACTCCCCAGATGCTGAAGCAGTCCATGTGCAAATGCAACAAGACAGATCCAGGTTTGAGCTGACAAGCAGCAAGTAACATTCACACCACACAAATGCCACAACCCCTTAATATTCAATGGTGTTATCACTGAATCCCCTTCTGCCAACATCCTGGGGGTTACCATTGATTAGGAACTCGATTAGACTTGCCACAGAAACACAAAGACTACAAGACCAGGTCAGAGGCTAGGAATACTGTGGCAAGTAACTCATCTCATGACTTCCCAAAGCCTGTCCACCATCTACAAAGCACAAATCAGGAGTGGGATGGAATACTCTTTACTTGCCTGGATGGGTGCAAATCCAACAACACTCAAGAAATTGACACCACTGACAAAGCAGCCCAGCTGATTGGCACCACATCCACAAGCATCCACTCTCTCCACTACCAATACTCAGTAGCAGTGGTATTTACTATCCACAGTATGCACTGCAGAAATTCAGTAAAGAATCTAAAACAGCACCTTCCAAACCCACGACCACTTCCAGCTAGAAGGATGTGGACAGCAGATATATGGAAACACCACCACCTGCAAGTTCCTTTCCAAGCCACTCAGCTTGAAAATATATCTCCATTCTTCAGGGTTTGAGTGAAGATTTGTAGTGCGGGTGCTGGTTGTAGATGTTGGTGTGCTCGCTGAGCTAGGAGGTTTGATAGCATTTGATAGCTCGGCGAACACACCAACATCTATATCTCCATTCTTTCACCGTCACTGGGTCAAAAACATGGAATTCCCTCCCTAAAGGCACTGTGGGTCTACCCACAGCATGTGGATTACAGCGGTTCAGGAATAGCAGCTCAATAGCACCTTCTCAAGGGCAACAAGGGACAGGTAATAAATGATGGCCAGCCAACAATGCCCATATCCCATGAATGAATAAAACAAAATTCAACTCATCCTTGGCAAGAATTAATCTTCAGCCCTGGGATCCCTGCGGCAACTGTTCTCACACCAGTTGTGGCCTTTGAAAGAGCTAAATGAAATCCTACTTTAAAGGACCTTCAGATAGGTTTAACACCTTGGTCTGTTTATTTTAAAGTAATGCAGACTTATTGGCAACAAATTAGAGGTGTATAAAACAGTTAAAAGACTGGGTAGCATCTCTTCTGACAAATTATTCCCCTTGAATGTGTTGGGTAAGCTACGTAAGAGTCTGGATGTTAGACAGTTCCTTTTCTACAGAGTACTGAGCCTCTGGAAAATGTTGTCAGCTAGGATGGCAGGTGTTGGCTCTCTGTATGCCTGCAAAAAGGAGCTAGTGTGCTTGAATATGGGAGAGGTTGCATTGTATGGAAGGCAAGTAACAATTGGTTCTGGACTTGCTTTGATCACTTTAGGGTTTGGAGAGGGATTTTAAAGGCTATTTTTCCTCCTATTAACATATTTTTGCCTCTGTTCTCTTGTCTCTCCTAGGTGAAAAGGCTGAGTGCAAAGCAGAGATGAGGTAGGGGAGCGGTGGTGTGAGGGATGTAGGGCAGGAAGAATTGTTTAACAATGATGAAAAAGTCATAGGTAGTGTGGCTTTTCCTTGCCAGTCATTTTTGCATGCTGTTAAGAAGAGTATTCCAGGATACTGACCATGACAGAAGAATAATGCATGCTCAGATCTGGTGATATCCAACGTAAAGATAAACTGACTGCAAATTTGGTCCAACAGTGTCTGTTTGTCAGACAGTAACAGGTCTACCAAGCGTTCAATATGTAGAACAGGGAGTGTTCACACTTTTCACACCAGGATAATTGTACTGCCAGCCATATTTAGAAAGGTAAAAACGTATTGTCTTTCATCCATTCAGGGATGTGGGCATCACTGGCTGGACCAGCATTTATGACCCTTCCTTAGTGCCCTTGCAAAGGAGGTAACGAGTTGCCTGCTTGAACTGATAAGTCCGGTTTGTGTAAGTACTCCCACAAAGCCATTAGGAAGGGATTTCCAGGATTTTGACCCAATAACACTGAGGAAATGGTGACAGAATTCCAAATCAAATGGGGAATGGCTTGGAGAAGAAGTTGCAGGTGATGGTTTCCCATGTATCTGCTTCCCTTGTCCTTCTGGATGGTAGTGATCCTGGGTTTAGAAGTTGCTGTCTAAGAAAACTTGGCGAATTGCTGCAGTGCATTGTATAGATGGTACATACTGCTGCTACAAGTGTCAGTTACAAGGGAGTGCATTTTTGTGGATTTCATGCCAATCAAGTAGACTGCTTTCTCTTAGTTGGTGTCAAGCTTCTTAAACAATATTGGAGCTGCACTCATCCAGACAAGTGGAGATATCCCATCACACTCCTGACTTACGCCTTATAAATGATGATCAGGCTTTCGAAAATCAAGTGAATTCCTTCCTGCAGGATTCCCAGCCTCTGACCTGCTCTTGTAGCCAGAGCATTTATATTCCCTAGTCCAGTTCAGTTGCTGGTCAAAGGTAATCCCAGGATCTTGATGGTGGGGCACTCAGTGAGGGTTAACGACAACGGATAGATGTTACTTTCGCAATCCAAGACTTAATACTTTTCACGTCTTAGTGCATTTGAGCGTAGATTGCTTCAACATCTGAGGAATTGTGAATGGAACCGAACATTATGTAGTCATCAATGAACCTCCACTTCTAAGCTTATGATGGAGTGAAGGTCATTGAAGCAGCTGAAGGTGGTTGGGCCTAGGGCATTACCCTGAGGAACTCCTGCAGAGATGCCCTGGGACTAAGATGACTGAGTTCCAACAACTGCAACTATTTTCCCATGAGTTTTCCCCAGATTCCCATTGACCAGTTTAGCTTGTGTTTCTTGATGCTACACTCAGTCAACTGTGTCTTTGATATCAAGGGCAATCACTTTCACCTCCCCACTGAAGTTTAGCCCTTTTGCCCATGTTTGATAGAAGGCTATAAAAAGGTTAGGAGCTGAATGGCCTTGGCAGAAGCCAAACGAGTATCGGTGAGTAGATTATTGCTAAATGTCATGACCATGAATCATAAACCTGGATCATCTATGGACATAATGAACTTTTAATTCCAACATGTGGAATGTTACACCTGATGATGTGTCAAGGAAGCTTCAGACAGAATGGACTTAAAAGAGAGAAATGCACTACAAACGGAATTGCAAATCTCCTGGGATTTATCTCAGACTGTTACTATGATGAGAGAAAAAAAATGTCAGTCTGAGCAAGAGACATGTTTTGTCTCATCAGGAGTACACAATAAAAATGATTAAAAACCTGATTAAATTGGCTCTTTTTATCACAAAAATTCATTTCGTCTGGGGTAAAGGGAGGGATCCTTTTAAAAATAAACTTGTTGCGTCCCACCTAGGGGGCACGTGAGTAAAGAAGGGAAGCTAGTTTATCCCTTCTCACAAATTGTAGGTATCTGGTCTGAAAATGTAATTAAATGGGGAACCTTACCTACAACAGTAGGTTATGGTGTGTTCCACCCAACCCCTCTAGTTGTGAAGTCCAATTTTTAAATGACGTGCAACAAACTTCTCAGTAAAACAAATATGGTTTATTCATGCTTTCAAACCCAGGGAATGAAGGTCATAACACAGCCACAGCCACATACACAAGGAACTAACGAGAAAATAAGTAAAATAAAAGTTTACAATTAGGAATAAGTTAAAAGAATATGCACATTTGTTCGCATGATTTCTTTTAACTGAGTCCAGAAGGTCAGTATCCAGTGAAGGTTCTTTTCCGTGGGCGTTTGGATTCATGTGGGTGTAGTTGGCTGAATTTTCTGAATTTGTTTAAAAGATGATGAAAGGCACAGAAGGTTAAGGTAGGTGTTCCCTATTCCAGGGGGAACAGGATTTCTTCTGGAAACGTGGTTTTGAAGAGGTTAAGACCTAAGGCAGTCTTAACTCAGTCTGAAGCCTGATCTTTGGTACAGGTTTAATGAAAGACAGAGTTTATTAGTTATGAAAAGGGAGAAGCAATAGTAACACAACACACATACAGCCTAACCCTATTGCTGATTAGAAATGAGAAGGCAGTCCAAAAAAAGATAAAAGTTAAAAGAAATACAGGTCAGTTGCCGGGTCATTAGTGAAGAGTGTATAATGTGACTCTGGTAGTTGAGCAATCGATTTTGAGATACCTGACTTTGCAAGATAGCTGAAATTCTTTTGCCCTGTTTCCCTAGAAACTGACTGGCTTCTCACATTCAGAGTAAGGGTCCTTTACCTCAACGTGGGGATAATTCATGGATGGTTGTTTGATGATACCTTTCACAGCACACAATCACTTAAGTGCAGACTAATAATACATGAGCATTTCAGCCAACTAACACACACAGCTAAGGGCTGAGATTGGCTTTTAGGCCCGATCTATGTGTATTCTTGAAAGGATAAAACACAAAGTGTCTCTCAC